ATAGATATATATATATATATATATCTCTATCTCTATCTATATAGGTCGACCGTCTCCACCATCATGGGTTCTGAGGGTTTCTGGTCTTTCTATGACGGGAGACAGATCAGAGTGAAATGTTCCTGCAGGGTCGCTGATGATGTTTGATGAAGATGCTGCTGATGATGATGATGATGATGATGAAGATGAAGGAGGAGGAGGAGGAAGCAGAGAGTGTTTCCTGGTGTAGACTCCCTGTCTGCCTTGGAAACCTTCTGACTCTTGTTCATGACTGAAAGTTCTGGAGCTCGTCTGTCGGTCACAAACAGTTTAAATTTAGATCAAATTAATGTATTAATGTATTAATCTCTACATTTACATGTCGTCAGTGATTATGTTCGTACCTCGTTGGGATGTTTACCGACGGACGGCGATGCGTTTTGGTCGTCAGGATTTCTCTGAACTCGTCTTCTCTTCACGGTTCGAAGCAACAGAAACAAACCAGCTGATAGAAACAACAACAGAATCATCGCAGTGATTCCTCCTGCTAGTCTGCTGTCCACATCTCCGAACATCTGCTGCTCAGTGAACGCACCACGAGGAACTACAGAGAGGAGAGAGTTAGTGTCAGTGAACGCACCACCACAGTTCCAGACTGTAACTCACCTGATTGTCCTCTCTGCAGGACTTCAATGTTTACTGAAGCCGAAGCTTCTTCTCCAGATTCTTCATCTCTGGCAACAACCTGCATATATAAATATAATAATGGTTTTATTTACAGCAACCAAGAAGGAACATCAACAGTCTGAATAGTTGTATTACACATAAGACGTTCAGGTACGATGGGAGAGTAAATATCAAGTCTCTGTATGCGAGTGTGGCTCTGCAATAACAAGAAATAATATGCAACAGAATATTAGCAGAATGTACAAATATACACAAAACACAGGAGTATATTGAAGATACTTAAATTAATAATTATTAAAGGAAATTAGATGTAATACTGTAACATTCCACAGGGTGGAGCTCCAGCTCAAACAATGTATGCTGTCTATTAGCTTTATATTTAGTACAGCCTGCTAATGCACACTATTAATGTACAATGTACTCTGAATTACTAAGTTTCACTCAATAATGATCCAGAGAACAGACAAAGGGATGAAGGGGGTTTAAGGTTGTTGTTTTGTCGACTTGTGGAGTTGTCGGTTGCAGCAGAAACGGTCCAAGAGTCCAGAGACTTAGAGGTCTGGACCAGGTCAGCATGAATTCTAATGATGATGACTCGGTGACAGACTCGTCCTCCGTTATCCTTCATACATCGTTATGTTACAGAAGCTCCTCCTCCCTGGTTTCACAACATTTATTATATATTTGCTTAAGTATAAAACTTGAGATGTGAGTAAAGTAGGAATGAAGCACAAAGACGGCCTTTGAGAGAGAGCTGGGTGTCGTCTGCGTACGGGCAGAACTACAGGTGTGACAGCAGCTGTTTGACAGATGTTTGTCACATTATAGTTGTATAGTAGTACAATGAAGGTAATAATACTACATTATAGTTGTATATGTGTATATACAGACACCAGCAGACTCTTCTAGTGGGTCAGAAGTACAGATTGAGAGGGAATTGTTCCATTTCATACTTTTTTAAAGGAAGACCCACCTGTAGTATGTGTCTGTCGAAGGCATGCAGTTGGTCCGTCCTGGCGATCAGAACCCCCCCGTTGGTGACTTGGTACAGTCCAGATGCAGGAAGGATGGAGTAGTGGATGTTTGGATTCAGGCCCTGTGATTGGACAGCAGTGATGACTCGTCTGCTGTCAGATGGGTTATAAAACAGGTAAACCAGCAGGTGTTCTTACATCAGAGAAGTCACGGTCTGACGCCTGGATCTGTAACACCTGGTTCCCATAGGTGGTGACGATGGAGGCCGGGCTCGAGTTCTGGACGATGAAACCTTTAAAGGTGGTTCTGTTGAAGATCGGAGGGAACGTGTTCTCACTGAGAACCCTGATCAGAACCGAAACCACACTGTACTTCAGCTGGTCGTCCTCCTGACACACCTGCAGAGGCAGATCAAAGGACAGGTAGATCGGACCTTTTGTTCTGTAGTGATTGTGATGGATAAAACGTAGATAGGAAGTAGCAATACCATGACGCTGAGTGTGACGTTTGCCTCCTGGTGTCGGGCGGTCACAGCTCTGGTGAGCCGGATCTCACCAGTCCTGTTGTTGATCACAAACCTGCCTCGATCCCCACCTGAAGACACACATACTCAGTTGAACCGTTTGCAGTATGGGCCTTGAACTCCTCGGCCTCTTTTCCAGCAATACAGTGTTGCAGGGATAACGTATTTTTGTGGGCTAACAGGAAGTTAGTGTCGCCCTGTTTTCCTCAACTAAAGACCCAAGGAATTTTTACGTTAAACTTATTACACATTTCCATAATCCATTTAACGCTGATAGAAACACGACTTCTGACGTGTAACAAAGGTCCAGAGAGCCGTGGATGTTGTAGTCATGTAGCTACCTGAAAGCTCCAAGAATAACACTTTAAAGAGACATTTAACTCAGCAAGTTGTTTTCTTTTTCAGTAACACATTTATTTGATGATTTATCAAATCCAATTCCTCTGGAAACCGTTCAATATGACAAAGTGGTTAAGAGGCTGTAAACACTGTTTATGGTCTATTAAAGCAGATTGTGATCTACATGTTGAGTTAAAACTGTGACCTGACAGGATGCTGTAGATCAGAGTGGTGTTGATTCCTCTGTCTCCATCTTCTGCTCTGATTGGACCGGGAGAAAACTCAAGAACTGCTTCCTGAAACAGAAAACAAATATATATCTGCAGTACACATTAATGGCTGTAAACTGTAAACAAGTACATCTGCTTACAGGAGGGGTCCCCCGGGTTTACCTGGTGTTTCTGTGTGATGTTGGTGGTGTAGGTGGGGTTCATGCAGACAGGAACAGCTGGAGAGACAGGTGTGCAGGGCAGGAAGTGAGGATAGTGGTCGTCTCCGTCCTCGATGTTCACAGTCAGAACAGCAGATGTGTTGGACTTCTCCACAGTGTTTGCTTCCTGTTCATTCCACAAAACCAGACATCAGGGCCCTGTTTCACACAGAAGGTTTAACAAACTCTGAGTTAACTAACTCTGAACTCTGAGTTAACTAACTCTGAACTCTTCTGAGTTAACTAACCCTAAACACTGAGTTAACTAACCCTAAACTCTGAGTTAACTAACCTTGAACTCTGAGTTAACTAACCCTGAACTCTGAGTTAACTAACCCTAAACTCTGAGTTAACTAACCCTGAACTCTGAGTTAACTAACCCTGAACTCTGAGTATGACTGATTGTTACCTGAGCCCAGATGATCACCTGCAGTCGGGTTCTGGTCTCGTAGTCCAGAAGTTTGTTCAGAACTATGTTCCCACTGTTCGGTAGATCAACCCTGAAGAACTCTGGGTCTCTCTGCAGGAAGCAAGTCACAGGTGAGTTCATGAAGACAGACACAGAGAACAGACAGACGTGTGTGGGCATCTTACCGACGATTGATCGATGATGTAACTGATCATGTCTCCGTCTGCATCGACGGCCTTCACTGTGAAAACCACAGAGTTCACTGCTGTCAGCTGCAAACATACAAAACAAACTTCATTATAGGTCACAATCCTGTTCACAACGTCACTAAATATAAGAATCACGTTAACAAACGTCACTAAATATAAGAATCACGTTAACAAACATCACTAAATATAAGAATCACGTTAACAAACATCACTAAATATAAGAATCACGTTAACAAACGTCACTAAATATAAGAATCACGTCAACAAACGTCACTAAA